ACGACAGCCCTCTTTGCAGTGAAGGAAACAGATTTAGAGAGTTTAAGTAAGTAACCTAAGGGCACATAGCTAGTAAGCAGTAATGCTGTGGAAGATTGGAAGTTTGTGGAAGTTTGTTCATGGAAACTTTTAGCAGCATATGTTGCCTCATTGTAACAAAGTAAGAAAAAGTAAGACTCAATCCATGCTCGTAAATCACATAGATCAATAGAACCCTTTAGAATGTACACACGTACTAGCAATATTACTTTAAATCCTTCACTAGTTTCTGTTGAGGCAGCACATTTTTTAATGGCATGTGATTTGTGAGGCACTGAGGACGAAAGTGGATCAGTAGAAAAAGAAAGATCTAAGGATATGTGGTTTAAAACATTACCATTCTGTTTCCAGTGGCCTAGGAATTCCCATTATTGGTGTAGTTAGGTGCATCGAGTCGGTTCCAACATATGGTGGCCCATGTACAACAGAGCGAAACACCACCCAGGCCTGTATCACCCTTACAATTACTGCTATCTTTGAACCCATTGTTGCAGCTTCTGTGTCAGTCCATCTCATTGAGGGCCTTCCTCTTTTTCACTGACCATCTACTAGGCATAATGTCCTCCAGAGACTAGTCCCTCCTGAAAATAAGTCCAAAGTACGTGAAATGAAGTCTTATCATCCTCACTTCTAAGGAACGTTCTGGCTACAGATCTGTTCTTTAAAGACAGATCTGTTCATTCTTTTATTTTTGTTTAATACTTTTTATCGTGAATTCAGTGAAGGTTTACAGACAAGATCATCAGTTTTACATTCAACAAGATTTGTTCATTATTCTAGCAGTCTATGGTATGTACAGTATTCTTTGCCAACAACATAATTCAAAAACTTCAATTCACATGAGGTGATTGAAAATACTATGACTTGGGTCAGAATTTCCATTAACCAAGCCCACTGTCATTGAGTTGATTCATGACCCTATAGGGTGAAGAAGGCTTGCTCCTTAAGATTTCTGACACTAAATCTTTATGGGAGCAAGAGCATCATCTTTTTCTCTTGGAGCAACTGGTGGGTTTGAACTGCTGACCTTGTCGTTGGTAGCCCAATCTTTAGCCAATTATACCACCAGAAATCCATCATTTACTTTAGAAATTATAAAAATTATCCTTAGTAAAAATGCAGTGCTAGAGTATAAAGAATCAAGCGCTTAATGGAACATCACTGGACAAGTAGCTACCTTAATGCATAGAGGGCGAGCCATTCATTCACACCTTTTCATGAGGTGTTAGCACCACTGCAGAGAAGCAGCCTTCATGAGATCCTGAGTCAGGAATGAACTAAGTAGACTGAATGCTCATGACAAAGTGCAGGTCTCTGTAAACAGCAATAGTGCACTGATGGGTATGTAATCTAAAGAATACTTTCACTCCAACAAAAGATTGTGTATGTGTGTGTATGTGTGTGTGTGTGTGTGTGTGAGTATTGTTGTTGTTAAGTGCTATTGCGTCATTCCTGACTCATAGTGAACCTGTATAGGGTTTCCCAGAAGTGTCTGGTGTGTTTGAACCACCGACTTTGTGCTTTAAATTGACTTTGCACTCCAGAGGCAGTTTCTAAGAAGCACTGACTAGCCACCAAGGCCATTCAATGTAGAGAATTGCAATAATGGCTGTGATATTTGCATTTTAGCTATTTTAATTGCTGGCATGTTTGGAAATTAAAAAGAAAATTCTTGAAATTCTGCTGGTCAAAGTGTATCTGGTTTTCTCTTCTGTGGAGTCTAACCATGACACTCTCCAGCAATAATGTTTGACACTGTTCCCAGGGAGCTCAATTTATGGTCTTTTTCCAGTTCTGCAGAACTGTAAGGTCCACCTCCTCCGTATCCATTTATGGGGATCATTTTTCTTGTAGTTATGTCGATTCTAAGAAATGTCAGCCTTGGAACCAGTGTAGTATTGACAGAACCCAAGTCCTGATTCTTTTTGGTCACCTTCCTTAGTTTTCTAAGTTTGAGAACAGAAGTTGGCACTAAAACATTTTAAAGAAAGCAGAATACAAAGAAACAACGATGTGTGTTTGTAGATTCATTACTTACCACATGTGTTAAGGATGTAAAAGCCTGACCTGAGCTTGAATCTGGGTCAGTTTAGGACAGAGTGAGAGCCCGTTAGAAACAAAGACCAGATTCACAGACTGCAATTTTCCTTCCATGAAACTGCCAACTTCCCTGCCGGTGCAGAAGTCCTACCTGTTGTGTTAAAGGCTTGGTCACGTCTCAACTGAAATAGGTTTCATTCCACGTTCCAGTTGGGACGAGGCTTAGTTGGTAAAGGTTAAGTTGGGTCTGCAAATGTGCTTGATTTCTTTCTGGGAACAAAACTAAAAAGGTCACTCACACTTCTGAATATTTCAGGAATAAGCAAGTTTTACAGTTTTGCAGCGTAAGCCAGATGGAAGGTTTTTAAACTAGGGAGTCTTTGCAGTTAGGTGGGGGAGGGGCAGAGGCAGAGCCAAGCTGGTAACAAACAGAGCCTGAAACATTAGCATTATTTTTAGTCTTTGCAATTCTAGGTCAGGTCTGGAAAGGTCAATGAAGAAGCTTTGGGTAATGTATAGGAAAAGTTTATATAAATCCAAACCAAGGTAGAAAGGAATTTATGTTGTTGTTGTTTAGTGCTGTCGAGTCGGTTCTGACCCATAGCAACCCTATATAGGGTTTCCAAGGAGCAGCTGGTGAGCTTGAACCACCAACCTTGCAGTTCAAACGGCTTTGCAGTCTGGCGCATTAACCCACAGAATATAGACAGAAAATAACAGAACACAAGATGTATCAGAAAATGATGGATTTGTATTAACCCGTTGATCTGATCCTGTAGGAGACCATACAGTACAGAGAAGGGTGTTCAGTGCTGCTCAGTTAGGGCTGATCTTCTGTGAGTATTCTTAGCTCTGCACTACCGCCTTCCTTCTTACCACTGTCTACACCCACCCTTATGCATCTTCCAGGTCAGAACTATTTTTACCCTTTTTTCCAGAACATTGAGGAAAAGCTAAAGGAGAAAGGAAGTAAAAGAAAAACCAATTGGATGTGAGCGGAGACTCTGTGGGCTCTTTTCCCTTTAAAACGATCATACCCATGCATGATTGTGTATATATACACACACGAACATGCACAGAGATACAAGCATAAATACTTTTCTATTATGACTATTACATATTTTAAATAGATAAATACAGATTAGAAGAAATCAAATGAGACAGCAAAGAGAGATAGTAATTATTGCCTCTGGGAAGCCATGCTTACACGTGCCCTTTTCCTGCCAGTGGTCATCCCTGTCAAGCAGAGTGAGAAGCTCCTTCTCCTATGATGCCGCAGCTCTTGGATGTGATGTCTCTCTTGTTGTATTGCTCATACTATATTTTATTATTTGTGCATATGGTCTTCTCCCTGTGAGGTATTTAGGACCAGCACAGCCTGTCAGTGGGATAGTTCATAGTCCAGGAAGGACTGTAGGATGTAGGAAGGATGTGACTTTTTCAGTGAAACCTCACAGTGAATTAGTTAGTATGTCACTCATTTTCCATGCTATTTTATATCCTTAAGGCTGTAACTAAGAGTCTCTTCTTAATACTGTAAATAGTTAGTGGCTAGGAGGAGTAAAGGGAAATAGTTTTCAGACACAACTGTGTTAATCAAATATTACAGTCAAGTGTGAGGAAATGAGTTGGTCATGATCTTAAAGTAATCTAGTCTGAGAAATAAAATTGGGCAACTAAAACAATTCATCCATTTTACCACTTCTAAAATAACAAATTTTGCCACTGCACCTGGTTCTGATACCCTACAGGGCGGGATGATCATTAAGATAATCAGAATTCTGCAGGTAACTTAAAAATATTTTGTGACCATGTAGTATAAGCATTGGACTGCTACCCTCAAATTCAATGGTTCAAACTCACCAGCCTCTCCTCAGAAACTCTATACAGGGTCACTATGAGTAAGAACTGACTTGTCAGCACTTAACAACAACAACATACCCATCAAAATGTGCCTCTACCATACTCTCATGTGACCACTTTATATATCTACTTGAGACCACAAAAACTAGATAGTGCCGTCTACTACCCATGATTATTCCGATCCAGATCACAATAGACGATCCCAGAGTCTTATTAAAAAAGGAAAAGGAAAAACAGACAAACGGTAACAGTAGGAAACAGAGAACGCCTTGAGACTATTGCTGTGAACTCTTTGAACCTAGCATGGAACCTATCTCTTGGTATTTCCCACAAGATCAATGCTGTACTTAAAACCATCAATGTGAAACCAAAAAGTCAACAAGTATTCAAAAGTGAAGATGAGGAGATAACAAGATAGGGAAACTAGAGTCCTGGAAATAGAATGAACAGAACACAATGGAACAGACCATTGACACATTGTGATAAATGTAACTAATGTCGCTGGACAGCTTGTGCAGAAATTGTCAGATGGGAACCTAATGTGTAAATTCCACCAAAACTCAATAAAATTGTGAAAAAGAAAAGAATATGTCTCAGAAAGTGTATTCACTATGACTTTTAACAGTCCTCACCTTTATGTGTTGAGATTAATATCTTATTGTATATTATTATTTTTACAGTAAAAAATTCCATAACCAAATATACCTACTTTGTTCTGAATATATTAAATACAACCAAACTATAACATAGTAGAAATATTTGAAGACTCCCCCTACTATTGCAGCAGAATTCAAGCCAAACCCACAAATTTAACTGAAATCATATTTTCATTACCCTCATTTCCCTCAACTTTATAAAACCAAGTATGAAGAGCTGTCAAGGTAATGCTTAATCAATTGCAGTGTCAAGATTGACTCTTCCCTAAGTAGTTACACATTGTTTGATTCCATATACTTAAAGCTGTTGTTAACATTATTTCAGTTTTCAAAATATTTTTTGTATAACACTGTCCAACGTGAAATTAGACCAGTAATGCCTTGCTTTCTGCTCCATTACAGAAGACAATAGATGTGTGGATTCAGATGCAGCATCATGTGCCAAGTGCCTTGCGCTGGGTCCAGAATGTGGATGGTGTGCTCAAGAGGTTTGCCTTTTTTTCTTGCGCTTTTTCCTCTTTTCCTCACAGTTGGTCTTCTTTTTAGCATGATTTCATTGCCATAAAATGTTATGCCTTGAAGGTGCTTCAGGAAAAAAGGTACTGCTGAACATCAGGAAAATTTTATTTGGTTTTATGGTTGGAAACAGAGCATCTGGCTGAATATAAAATATAACATTTTTTATTAGGAAAATTATGGTAATTTTGAAATGAAGTGCAAACCGTTTTATGTTTTCCATCTGTTCTATAGAAAGAATTGGCAAACACAGATAGTAACTTTTGATAGTTCAGTGGGCTTGGTGTGAAATTCGTACTGCAGCTGAAGCATTAGGTGATATATCCAAGTTGCATCATTCTCTCATACTTGCTTATTAAAGCAAAGCAAGCTAATTGATTGGTTCATTTCATCTGTTTTATTTGAAACACTTGGCAACAAGAGTTTCACACCACTGTACATTAATCTGTTTGTTACTTGTGATAAATGGGATGCTTTTCTTTGACACGCGACCTCGTTCATGAGATATGATATACATTTAAGTTCTGTTGAATGGAGAATCATCAACAAGAGAGGTAGGGGATACGATGGTAAACACAGTTCTTGAGCTGAAGTGAAGGTAGGGTGATGTAAGATGGAGAGTTTCCTCCACACCAAAAAAGAAATGACCTCTATAGGGGCTTTTTCTTATGATTCCTATAGCCACATAAACACATTTTAATTTACCTGGGAAAATTCATAAAGATGAAACCCCAAATCAGTAGACTTTTTTTCAGTGTGATTTATTATATACAGATAATCTTGTTGATGATCTTCCTGATGTATCTGGAGGAGAGAAAAGAAAGCTGACAAGAAGCAAAGGCTAGTGAACAACATTTTCTTTAATAAATCAAGTCAGGATAGATACAGGGAAGCAGCCCAAAGTAGCCATGTCTGGAAGTAAACATCTCTCTTACTGATATCCTATAGGTTTCCTGGGTGTACCCTGGGCTCTGCCAGTGACAAAATCAGTTGTCACTCATGTAGTAAGTAGGCAATGCACTGCCAGAATCCACAGAGTCAAGCAGTGTGATAGAGAGGATCATTCCAGATTATGTGGATTTAATCTTATCGTTTCATAGGAACAGAATGTCCAAACTGAATTCACCTTATGCTCTGAGCCTCCGTTTGCTGATCCATGAAAACTTGAGTTTGGAATTTTCTTAGAGGTTTTTCTCTTGTCAAGAATGCTTCATGACTTCCTGTTTCCTGATCCCAAACCAGTGCTCCATTTTGAATTTTTACTGTATCATTAAGGAACATCCCTAACACTTAAGTCCTGAAGTTTGTATCAACCACTAAATACTTTAATGAGGGCAGCTATTGTTAGGTGCCATCAAGTCAGTTCCAACTCCTAGTGACCTATACAAGGTTTGAACCACCATGGAACCTTGCAGTTAGCTGTCCAGTGCTTATCCTATAGTACTGCAACAGAACTCCTTAGTGAGCGTATTATAAAAGAACTAGAGGGCTTAGAAACCCAGGTGTCAGTCAGATATCATATGTCAGCTTTGTAGAAAAGCAGGTGCTGGAAGCCGGGAATCGCTTTTCCATCTCTCATTCTAATTGGCATAAAAAATCTGGAGTCACAGTTCTGGGAGTAACAATACTAGTCCTGCTGCAGGAGGAGAGATTTTGGGTATCGAGAGGAACAAATGGTCAAATGGAATAAGTAAGCTGAGGGAAAAGGGCAGAGAAAGCAAAACCATATTCACTGCTGTTCAGATCCTTCATATGTGACCCCAGGGAGAACATTTGGAAATTCACTTGTCTGTTCACATCCCCACATGTTCTTCTATGTAGTGTAGTCTACTGGGATCAAGGCATTGAGAAAACAGGCTCTGAAGTGAGACCAATCTGGGTTCAAATTCCAGTTTTACTTGTTACCAGCTATAAATTCAGAGAAGTTACTTAACCTGGTTTTGCTGAAGGAGCTCTGGTAGCGTAGTGGTTATAAGTTGGGCTGCTAATGTCAAGGTCAGCAGTTCGAAACTACCAGCCATTCCTTGGGAGAAAGATGAGGTTTTCTGCTCCCGTAAAGATTTATAGCTTCCAAAACCCTATGCAGGGTCACTATGAGTCAGAACTGACTCCGCAGCAGATAACCACCATCAAAATGGGAATAATCATTGAAGTTACATTTGAATTTACTTCCGAAGTGTTGTAAAGGTTAAAGGAGATAATATATGGGATAAAGCACACAAGTAATTCTCAACAACTTGAGTGTTACTATGCAGAATTTTGAAGAGAATCTGAAGCAACTTTAGAGAAACTTGTCTATGTTGAGAATACACTCCCAGAGTGAAGACTTAGAAGTGATCCACACCATTAGCAGAAGGAGCTGTCCATCCCCACTGGCTGACCCGATATCATCACGAAGAAGGATGAAAATCACCATCACTTACTCACAGATGCAAATGAAGTATCTTTTCTCAGCCAATAAGGATGAAAGAGCAGTGAAAGAAGGGACAATTTTGTTCTACTCAGAATTAGAACAGATAAAAAAGTTAGAGCAAATTAATCTGGTTTGTAGAATTCTCAAAGCTGGTTGAAAATAAAAGACCACAATAAAATTTAGGCAGGGTATATTCAATCTGCTGACATTCTTGTGTAAGATGTTATCTGCTATTCTATCTACTCTGGTTTCTTTTTTCACTCCATACTACATAAAAGTAATTGAAAAACCATTGGAATAGAGAAAACCTTATTGATACTTCCTAGTTTAATTCCTCATGGCCCTTTTCTAATATATGTGAAAGAAATGACAAGTTCAAAAGAATTATCTTTCTCACTGGTCAAATACATATGGTTCAGAGTATGATTGCATGATGAAAAGTTTAGTGTGCAACTAAACTTTTAGCATAATTGTACAAAAATATAATATGCCGAGCATTTGCTGTTAAAAGGGTGTGTTTTGATTTGCTAGTGCTGCTATAACAAAAATAGGACAAGTGGTGGCTTTAAGGAAGCGAAGTTTATTTTCTCAGTTTTGGAGGCTAGAAGTGGGAATTCAGTGTTCCAGGTTTAGGGAAGGCTTTGTTCACAATAAGGGAAAATCCTTAGCTTCTCTAACATTTTTCTCACATTCCTTGGAGATCTCCATATGGCATCGATCTTTCTTCTATTTCTGCTTACTTCTCTCTGTCTGATCTGATTTTTCTATGTCTCAAAAGTCATTAGGTTTAGGAAACACTATACTGATAGAGCCTCATTAACACAACAGGAAAATTCTATCCTAAATTAGATTACATCTCTATGGGAAAAAAAGTTAGAATTCCAACATACATTTTGTTGTTGCTTTTGTTAAGTGCATTGAGTCAATTTTGACTCATGAGACCCTGCATAGGGTTTCTGAGGAGTGGCTGTTGAATTTGAATTGCTGACCTTACGGTTTAAACAGACCTTGCGGTCCAGTGTATTAGTCCACAGTGACACATCAGGACTCAATGTATTTGGGGTGATACAATTCAGGTAAGATGATAGAATTATTTTATTTTTGTGCAAGTTGCCAATTTTGGAAGCTAGAAAGATTCAAAAATGAGTAGAAGGGGGGAAAAAGTCTTATTTATACCCCCAGATTATTACATTAAATGGATAAAGTTAACAGTTGGTGAAAAGCCAATCCAAGTAACCTCAACCTGGGATTTTCATTTTCAAATAGATTTTTCCATGCAGAAAATTGGAGTTTGACTTACGTTGTGTATTTCTTGTAGGAAAGCAAAACACAAGAATTAGAAGAAATTAAAATGACATCAAATACCAAAAATTAAAAGGGTGTGGTTTCAAATTGCTTTTCTTTTATACAAAGTAGAAAGTAGGACACAGTGGGCAGGGGCAGCATTCCATTCTTTATTTTGATTCCACAGTCTTTTATTCCATTTTCAAACCTAATTGTCAAACTGGCAATATTTTTCTTCATTTTTACAGTGGGGTAAAAAGAACTGTGCTGATTCAGACATTGCAAAATAATCGAGACTATTTTGCCTATTTCAGCAAAACGATTTGATATTTAAAGGTCAAATGACATATCTGAATGTATACTTTCAGTGAATTAAATAATTCATCATTCTGAATACACAAATAACAATCCACGCTGGAAAAAAAATCAGAGCTATTAGTACTTTATTTCTAGTCCATGATTAAATGTCTTGGGGTTTTTGCATGTTTGGCATATCATTGGAGACATAAATGGGCAAGCAGGTACCAATGACCATTGCTGTAAGTTGCTCTCAACTCGTGGCAACCCGATGTGTCAGAGTAAACTGTGCCCCATGGGCTTTAACTAGCTGCATTTTTATAAATCGATCTCTTGGCTTTTCTTCTGATTGTCTCTGGGTGGACTTTGATTAGCAGTTAAATGCATTTCCATTTGTAGCACCCAAGGACTCATCAAGTCTTTGTTGTGGTTTAGAGCCATCTAGTTGGTTTCAACTCATAGCAACTTGGCATAGGGTTTCCAAGGAGTGGCCGGTAGGGTTGAATCACCAACCTTGCAGGTCAGCAGTCCAGTGTTTATCTTACAGTGGCACACCAGAACTCCAGCGTCAAGTCTTAAGCACAGTCAATATTCCCCAGTTTCAAAGAGAGATGTGATTCCTCCACTGAGCCTGAATCTCTTTGAAGGACTGTAATATATGCTCTACTGGCTTATATACCATCTTTCTCTTTGGAACCTCAACTAAATCTCATATTCATATTCTAGCTTTTATCAAGAGATAGGATAGTTTGGATATAAGAATCTAAGACTACCCATCTTCAGCCTATAACTGATGGAATACCTAAAGTGGGGTTAGAACTTGCTCAGTGAAGGAGGCTTCCTGTGGAGCCTTTGCTTTGCATAAGACCATAGGTGGAATTCTGGTCCCCATCCAGAATTCTTTGAGGTGGGAAATTGCCACTTGAAAGGACAAGCAGACCAGCCTAGAGTGGCTACAAGAACAGGAGATAATTCTTGAAAGAAAGATGGACAGAGAAAATTAAAAAAACAATAATGGCAGTCTGATTTATCGACTGCTACAAGAACAAGCAAGTTGTTTGCCTAGGAGCCATCAAGGCAAGTGATTGGGTGCTCTCAGGGCAAACCCCCTTCCAAGACTGAGACTCAAGGGGAATACACAAGCAGGTATGTGGTCATGATTGGTGACCACATTGGTCTACCAATAAGGGGAAGTGGGGGAAAAACAGCAATGAAGTTGTGAGCTAAGTTCAACCACGTTCAATAGACTCCTGTCAACCTGGGTTGAGACCTGGTTGGCCAGCATTATGGCAAGACCTGGGGACATGGCCACAGAGGACTACAGCAAAGAATGAACTGTCCAGCTGATATGAAATGAGGGCAGATGCACAAGAACACCCATACTTGCCGATAGTACCCACTTGACCTGGCTTCAATGGTTGGATGATCAGAACTTGACTTAGACGAAGAAAGAAGAGGAAAAAAAGACTAATCTGCCACAATATGATGAACTTGACCTATACTCATGGATGTAGCAGCTCAAAAGAGGGAACAAATCTTTACACTGAGGATCATTCTCACCCCCTTGGTACACAGGATTGATAGGGATCGACAACTTAGACACTGACTACCCAAAATAAGGGTGCTACAAAGGCAAGAAGTGACTGACTTACAAGCTTTCAAGAGGGAGCCTAGTTCCAGAGGGTGCGGGGGTCCAATGTGTCTGATGAAAGGAAATGGGGATAAGACGCTTGTGGTTCAACAGGGAATAATTCTCTTAGGACTGATTGTGAGTGCTGCAAATGTAAAGGTAAATGTTTTGTAACAAAAGGAGGGGAGTAGCTGATTTTGCATTTCAGGAGCAGAAGACCCTGGGACCATCATGGGAGAAGAGCAGAGTGCGGGACCCTATCCAGAGAAGCAGTGACACCAGAGATATGGCAGAGACAGAGATGATGATGTGGAGAGATGGAGTGACTGAGAACTCTGGACTCAGGGAGGGAGAGGGGCTGTGTGCTGATGGCCCGGAGGGTGGGGGGGTGGGGAGTGGGCCAGGCTTGCACGGTATACCCTTTGGTTGTTTGATGATGCATGGAGGGGGTTGTAGTCATTGCAATTAAATTAAATACGATAGGATGAATGTAAATCTGATGTTCTCCCATGTAAACTATCACTCAATTCACAATAAACACTTGAAAAAAAAAAAAATCTAAGACTTCAAATGTTAAAGTTCATACTGAAATCTAGATGTATGGTCAAAAGGAAAGCAAATTGAATTTCTTAATTTCCATGAAGCCATTCACCAACTTTCACCTGGAAATCTTGACTGGAAAGGTCTTGTTTCTTTTTGTCTCTTTATAATAGTGGGAAGTGTGTCCCACACTCTAACTCATAGGCCAATGGACTCTTTTCTGTAAAGCCCCACAGAGTAGAAGGTTAGACTTTGTGAGTCACATACTGTCTAGGTCACACATTCTGCTGCTGCTTCTTTCTTTGTTTCTTTACTTACAGCCCATCAAAAATGGGAAAACCATTCTTAGTTCACAGGCCATTAAAAAGCCAGCCATGGCCTGCACTTACCTAATTGATCCTAGTTTGCCATCCCTGGCTGTAAATTGAGAGAGGAATTAAATCACAGTCGTTATATGAATGTTGTATGTTGCTTGTCCCCATTCTATCTACTTACTCACTGGTGCCAGGAATGTCCCTGTTCTTAATAGTTGTTGTTGTTAAGTGCCACTAAGTCAGTTCCAACCCACAGCAACCCTGTATAGGGTTTCTGAAGAGCCGACCTTGTGTTTCAAACTGTCCTTGTGGTCCAGTGCATTAACCTACAGAGCCATACCAGGACTCCTGTTCTTGATTAACGACCTCGTATTCAGCTCTCATGTCCCTTTAAGAGTGGCAATCCCTTTTCTCCAGATCCCTCTGATGGTCTGTACTTCCCCTACATTTGCTGGTGGTTACATGCTGTGTAGTAGGTTCTGACTCACATCAACGCTGTATAGGGTTTTCAAGAGTGTAAATCTTTACAGGAGCAGAAAGCCTCATCTTTATCCTAAGCAGTGACTGGTAGATTCAAACTGCTGACCATATTCCAAATCAGTCAGGTCAATATTATATATAATAAATCATATGTCTATGGAATCCTACTGTGGCGCTGTAGGATAAGCACTAAACTGCAAACCACAAGGTCAGCAGTTCAAACTCACTAGTTGCTAATCGGAAACAGGGTTGTTATGCCTCAGAACCACCTCAAAGGCACGTAACAATGATAGCGTTTTTAATAAATTGCCTTTGTTTGGGAACAACCCTGAATGGTTACATGGAAAATAAAAATACCAATTTTTTCCCAGCCAGGACAAATTACATTTTAAGCTTGCTTTGCTGATTCCAACTTTATCAGATTGATGTTGTATAACTATCAACTGACAATGTGGGGTGATAGTGAAAAGTTCAGATTCAGTTGCAAACTGAAGAGTTTTTGAGCAGCAGTTTATTTCTCCCTGCTGAAATTTTACTTAGATTATTCAATTAATCTTATATAGTCTCTTCAGTATATAAGAAGTTGGGGTTTGTTTGTTTTTTTGGTCTAAGGCATAGAACTTTACAATTCATTCTCTTAGGAGTTTTTAGGATTTAATTAGGCATGTGACTTCCAAGGAGTCATGCTCATAGTCCAGACATAACAGTCTATCGTAAACATACCAGTTGGGTTCTTTGAGAACTGATGCTCACATTTGGAATCACTGAAATGTCTATTTTGATTAAATTTCCTTTTGGAGCTCTTTCTAAAGTAAAATATTTAAAAATAATTAAGTTGACATAATTTTACAATGATCAGTTAACATCATTTGAAAAGCTTGATTTAAATATCCTCTTTAACAGTTCACTTTCTGCCTCTTAAATATGATTTAGAAACTAAAGTGTTATTTAAGGCAGATTTGCCAGTACCCTTTGTGGAAGCGTGCAGCCACTTGAACATATTCCATATTTGCACAATATTGGAAGATGACTCCTTTGTGATATTTGTGATGTGGTTTTGTTTGGTTACAACTGAGGTGATATGCAGTAAGAAGTCAGTGACTTTGCTTCTTTTAAACAGGTTTTCATTTCAGGTGGATCAAGGAGTGAACGCTGTGACATTGTTTCCAATTTAATACTCAAAGGCTGCTCAATTGATTCAATAGAATATCCATCTGTGCATGTAATACCAAGTGGAAATGAAATCAACACCCAGGTAACACCAGGAGAAGTGTCGATCCAGCTGCGTCCAGGTTTGGTGATTTTCAAATAATTCTTTTTAGAAATCTTCAATCAAAATCATTCTTCATACTATTTGCTCGTATTGGGTTGTATATGGCAGGCAGTACTGTTAAAATAAGAATAATAGTGCGCTTAGGACTAAAAGTCAGAATTCTACTTTATGATGTACTACTAGGTCCCTGGGTGGCACAAATGGTTGATCGCTTGACTACTAGCTGAAAGGTTGTCAGTTCAAATCGCCCACAGGCGTCTTAGGAGACAGGCCTGGCACTCTGCTTCTGAAAGGGCCCAGTCTGGAAAACCCTAGAAAACAGTTCTACCCTGCACATGTTGTTGTTGTTGTTGTTATGTTCTGTGGAGTTGGTTCCTACTCATAGCGACCCTGCAAAGGGTTTCCGAGGCTGTAAATCTTTACGGGCGCAGAAAACCTTATCTTTCTCCCGTGGACCAGCTGGTAGTTTCGAACTGCTGACCTGTCGGCTCATAGCCCGATTCATAACCACTACGCTAGTTGGTATGGACTCAACAGCAACTAACAACAGCAGCATCATGTCACTAGCTACGTGACCTTGGACAGTCTGAAAACCTGATCCCACTACATTATAACTATGTGTTTACAGACCCGGTTCCATTGCAGTGCAATTGTGTTCCTAGTCTAGTACCAGCTCTGGAAGAAAAAGAACATGTTTTGCTCCATCCTGTTTATCCAGTACATAGCAGAGTACTAGTAGATAGTTGTTGTTAAGTGCCATTGAGTCAGTTCTGCCTCATAGTGACCGTATATATAGGCTGTAAATCTTTGAGGGAGCAGAAAGTCTCATCTTTCTCCTACAGAGTTACTGGTGGGCTTTAACCACAGATTTTGTGATTGACAATCCAGTGTTTAATGTAGGGAGGCAGGAAGCACCATTCAATTAGATGGATTTAGTTTAAAGTTATATGCCATCATTTTTAAGTCTTCCTGATTTCATTCAGGGTGGTCCTCTGCTGTACATTAAAATTGAGTAACTGTTCTTGACACATACCCCTCACCATTCCAAAGCTGAGCTTTTTCTTCCAGACTCTGATTACCAGAAAAACAAAAGTCCATTTCTTTCTTGATCCTACACATGTTCCTAGATCCTGTTGAAACTGTTCCTCACCATATAAAAACAACTATACATCCCTGTATGTACCTCTCACCAGAAGCAAAAGTTGGAAAAGGTACTTAAAAAAAAAAAAAAAAAGGAAGTAATTAGGTTGGTAAGAGTATGGCTCTTGCCATTTCTTTTTGCAAAAGTTTTTAGTGTGGTACTGTGCATATAAATTACATGCCCTTGTTCACCTCATCTAACTCAGTGTGTACACTAGACTCTGCCCTTAGATTTTCCTAAGGCATGCATTTCTTTTCATACAGCTTTTTAAGATGCTGTTTGCCCAGCCAGCTTTAAAGATTTGTTCTCTTTCTGTTATTCTAATAAATTCATTAGCTTCATTCTATTCATTTAGATAAGCCTACCTAGTTCTGCTAAAACTGCTTCTAAAATTCCTATTTTTAAAATGCACTTTTATTTCACAATTAACATAATCATCAAAGTCTTTCCCATTGTTCGTTTACAAGATTCTCCAAGGTCTTAATGCCAGACCATCTCCCCTGAACGTCAACCAATAGTGCACCCACACCAGTGTCCCTAAGGATTCCCACTTCATGGAGACCCCTTGTGTGTCAGAGAAGAACTGTGCGCCACAGGATTTTCAGTGACGGATTTTTCAGAAGTAGATCATGAGATTTTTTTGTCCAAGACATCTCTGTGTGGACTTGAATTAGCAATATTTTGATTTTGTTTGTTTGTTATCTTAATTTTATTGTAAATTAGGTGAAGGTGTATAGAGCCAATCAGTTTCCATTCAACAGTTCAAACACATTTTGTTTCATGTCACTGACTATAATCCCTGCAGTTAATATCATTTATCCTCGTGTTTCATGCTTCATTCCTAATCTAAACTTTGTTTTTGGGTAAATACTGCCCTTTTGTTCTCAAACAGATGATTATTTTAAGGTGTGGCTGCCTCTCTAGTATTACTGTCCCTCTTATAAGCCTGTCTATTATTTGGTTGAAAATTGAGTCATGAGGGTGAGGAGTACATCCCCAGACCTAAAACATGACTAAGGGTCATAGACTTAGGGGTTCTACAGTCTCTATCCAACCAGTGAGCCTGATCTTTTTTATGCTTTTATACTTTGTTCTACCTTTTTATCCCTCTCTATTTCTTTCAGTGCAGTTGGTAGTGGTGGCTAGGTACCGTCAAACTGACAATCTTTTAGTTAACAGCTAAGCACATTAAACATTTGTTGGCAGTACTTAGGGACTCCAATAAACCATTTCTGTTTAGTTAATTCTGACTCATATTGACCCAATAGTATAAAGCAGAACTGCCTTACAGGGTTTCCAAGGCTGAAGTCTTCATGGAAGCCAACTGCTATATCTTCCTCCTATGAAGCAGCTGGTGGTTTGAACCACCAACCTTCCAATTAGCAGTCAAGTGCTTAAACCACTGTGCAATAGACACTTGCAATCAATTATGTTTCAACTTTTTCACTCAAACAAGTTCAAGATCACTTTGTTCTTATCTGATAAAAATTCACAACCTTCAATGTGACATCTAAAATATTTTTGTGTGTGGATTCTTTTCATTACATCATATACTGACTAAATTTTTAAAGGAATATTAATTAGATACTATTTTAAATTAAATATTTGAATCAATTTGAAAAAAAAAATTGACATTTTTTTTCTTTTCTTTTTTTACCTCCTAAACTGTATTTTTTTTTCTTACTTTTACTTATTATTCTTATGGAAAAATAACAAAATAAATAGCTACTGATAAAAGTATGAATGCTACTGATACCCTAGGAATGCTGAAAATGAAGTCCTTTGGAAAGGTAGGTGAGAGAAGGTAATTATCTAGTTCTGCTTCAGAAATCACAAATACATATGAGAAGAATTAGAATAAAAAAACACTGGACCTCAAGGTCAGTTTGAACCATTAGGCCAGAGGTTCAAACCCACCGTTGTTCCTCAAAAACCCTATACAGGGTTGCTATGAATCAGAACTGATTCAATGGCACTTAACAACAACAACATAATTCAGTAGCTTATTCTGAAGTATGGTGGTGGTGGAGGTGGTGGTGGTTATGTGCCGAGGAGTCGGAACCAACTCATAGCGACCCTGTACAGGGTTTCCAAGGCTGTAAATCTTTACGGGAGCAGAAAGCCTCATCTTTCTTCTATGGAACAGCTGGTAGTTTCGAACTGTTGACCTTAAGGTTCTCAGCCCGATTCGTAACCACTATGCTAATTCTTCTCATATATTTATACTTCACTAGGAGTCCTGGTGCAGTACTGTAGGATAAGTACTGGACTCCTAACTGCAAAGTCAGCAGTTCAAATCCACCAGCCACTCTTTGGACACCCTGTAAGGGTGGATATGAGTCAGAACCAACTCAGTGACACTTAACAACAACATACTTCACTAATTCAAGACAAGTTTCAAATTCTATTTATTTTAATAGTTTAAAGAAAAGAGTTCTTTAATTTAGTATATCATATTTTTAAAGTTAAGATTTTCAGGTATACCTCTTTCTTCCTTAACTCAAAACGTTTAAAAATGCAATGAAAAATAGAAATCTCCTCAATCCCTGGCATACAGGCTCCATTTTATCTCGCACAGAGACTCAGAAGTGGGCTAGAGTGTATTCATTGCTATTTTGAATGAGGCTGTCTCACTTTTAGACATTCTCAATGATAATTAATACAATTGGCTTATCTTTAATTCTCCTACAGTTTCCCATGTTTTTATTTTTTCAGTTTTATCTCATGAAGAAAATATGTAGTTGTCTTTTCTTAATATCCAAGCATTTCTTTGTTGTAGCCAATTAATTCATCAGGCATCAGGGATGCTACCACCATCATTTAAGTAGTTTGCAAACTCAATCTAACTCTTAATTCTGTGCTCTATTCTAACCAGTCACAAGCAATAGCTCCAAGTTTTCTATACAATTCTGTGTCCCAGACTTACTTATCATTTAATGGTTAACTGAAGGACAAAAGGACCCTCGTCTTTAGAATCTGAAAAGTTGTCAGAATGACGCTTTCCTGGAGATAATGAAGTGGTGGCATAAACATTCTGAGACGAGATGATAGTCCCCATTCCTCTCAAGTAGAGGAATTCTATGTAAGCTCTCACAGCTGACACTGTGGGAAAGAAGTCATAGCTATTAGCTTCCTAATGTGAGCCTTATGCAATGCTGTACCAAAATAGATATCACATGTTCTTTAGTTCTAAAATGTGGAGTTGACTGTACATAAGCAAACTCAGAGACATCAGAGATGAATAGACATAAATCTTACCCTAAAGTTGCTTAGATTCTAATATAATAATAATAAGTATTAGCATATATATGAACCCTGTTGTGGCTTTGTAGGATAAGCACTTAACTGCTAACCATAAGATCGGTGGTTCAAACCCACCAGCTACTCCATGGAAACCCTATACAGAGTTGCTGAGTCTGAACTGATTTGATAACTCTTAGCAACAACAACAAAAATATATATGTGTTTACTGTATACCAAGGTAATGTGTTAAATGTTTTATATAGACTATGGCAGTGTACAATAAGCACTAGACTGCAAGGTCGGTTTGAATCGCAAGGTCGGCACTTCAAACTCATCAGCCACTCTTCGGAACCGTTGTACAGGGCCACTAGGGATCACTTAACAACAACAGCAGCAATGATTATATGATGGTTGTTAAGTGCCGTCCAATCGGTTCCAACTCACCGAGACTGTGAGTAGGGTTTTTGAGGAGTAGCTGGTGGATACGAGCAGTTCAAACCGACCTTGGGGTCCAGTGCTTATCCTACAGTGCCACACCAGATCCATAATCTGGAATCATAAAATGTGGTAAGCTTCATAATGTCAGCATGATCAGTTGCCATGGAAACATAGAGGAGCCCAGTTTAAGGAGGAGC